ATAATGATGCTGGAAGCAAGATGCCAAACACCTGGAGCAGCAAAGCCCCTGAACATCACCACCCGTACATTCCCTGATAACATTTCTTCCGATTGAAGAGGTTTTTAGTGGTAGGGGAAACCAGAGCACCCAGAAGAAACATTCACAAACAAAGGGAGAATATGCGAACTCCACACAAAGAGGAATCGAACCACGACCTACTTGCTGTGAAGCACAAGTGCAAACTACTGCACCACCATGCAATCTGAGATTTGAGGTGCCTGCCACATGGGGGGACAATACAGTTTTTGAGTTGAGTTGAGGGGTCAGTGGAGGAGGCTTGGGCATCTGATTGGAAAGTTATGGTTAAAGTAAACTTTATTGATCCCCATATGGCAATGTGTCCTCTGGATTTGACCCAACCTGCAATGCAACCAAGGCCTGTGTCAGGACCAGTGGTCAGACCTCAAGGATTGGAGTGTTTGTAGATGTTTTTAGAGGTCAGGGAAACCGGAGCACTCGGAGAACACCAACACTGACACAGGGAAAACATGCAGAATCCTTTCTTAAAGGCCTTGTTCCGGTTGGGATTTGAACACAGGACTTTCTCGCAGAGATACAATCACCTATACCGTTAACCTGGAGTATAGGTGGAGTACCACAGGGGTCGATCCTGGGACCTCTTCTGTTCAATCTCTACATGCTGCCGTTAGGTCAGTTAATACGCAGAAACAAAGTATCCTATCACAACTATGCAGACGACACTCAGATCTATGTCTCACTGACTGCAGGAGAACATGGACCAGTGGACTCACTCCTTCACTGTATCCAACAGATCAGTGAGTGGATGCAAAACAACTTCCTTCAGTTAAACGCAGACAAAACTGAAATTATTGTCTTTGGTCCCCAGAAACAAAGAGAGAGCGTTATCTGTCACCTCCAGTCCCTCTCCCTAAAACCTTCAAACAAGGTCAGAAATCTAGGGGTAATACTGGACTCAGACTTAAATTTTAATAGCCACATCAAATCAGTAACATCAGCAGCTTTTTACCATCTAAAAACATTGCCAGGATCAAAAACATAGTGTCTAAAGCAGACCTGGAGATTGTTATCCTTGCATTTGTCTCCAGTAGGTTAGATTACTGCAATGGCCTGCTCACAGGTCTGTCCAAACAGGCTGTAAAACAGCTGCAGTACATTCAAAATGCAGCAGCTCGAGTCCTGACTAGAACCAGGAAGTACAACCACATTAGTCCAGTTCTCAGGTCTCTGCACTGGCTTCCTGTGGCTCAGAGAATAGACTTTAAAACAGCTCTGCTTGTGTACAAGTCTCTCCATGGCCTCGCACCAAAATATATTAGTGACATCATGACATGTTAGTCCCATATGAACCAGCCCGGACTCTGAGGAGCACAGGGACTGGACTCCTGTTAGTGCCCAGAGTCAGAACTAAACATGGGGAGGCTGCTTTTCAGATTCATGCTGCTAAAATCTGGAACAATCTTCCTGAAGATGTGAGACAGGCCTCCTCTCTGACAATGTTTAAAACCAGGTTAAAAACAGTTCTGTTTAGCTGTGCATACAACTGAGGGATTGTATATTTTATATTTTTATCTTTCTTTTTAATGTACTGTGATTATTTATTTATTTTAATGCTTTCTTATTTTGTTCAGCACTTTGAGTTGCCTTGTGTATGAATTGTGCTATACAAATAAACTTGCCTTGCCTTGCCTTGCCTTGCCTAACCTCAACACTGACTTGATTGTAACTCTTAAGGCTGTGTCAACCTGGTTCAATGTGTTGTTTGGACCTGTGTCAGCTTTTCACCATAGGAATGGTCAAAAGGAAAGGGTCAAAACAAACTTCTGACTTTCAAAATAAGTCTTCTAAAGTCTAAAGTGACATAGCTAATGAAGAACAAGAATTAGCAACTGGAAGTAGAAGTGAAAGTGCAATTGAGGATTTGGAAGGAGAGGAGGATGACAAAACACATCTGCATGCAGTGTCTTTTGCAATTGTTTACAGCAAATTAGTACCAGGCATGTGCATTTTTTATTTTGTTGTCATTTAAACTGTACTGTCAGTGCTTCAAAATATGACTTTTTGTTCGGTTATTTTTTCATGAAAGGCATTTTGAAGTTTTGAATTATGATAAAAATATGATTGCATATTGAGAATCATCAAACACAAAATATGTTCTGTAGTGTTCCCAGTATTTTCATTAGTTGCTCAAATGCACCTTAGTGGACACCAACATCCAGAAGTAAGAATGTTTTAAAAATGAAAATGAAAATTAAGCTGATTATTTTTGTACATGCCTATAGAAAACAACATACTCATTTGAGTAAGTAGAGCTTTGTGCAAAATGTTCAATTCTTAGGGCAGTTTTTGAATGATTTTGATCTCTTCCTCAGGTATTTTACACATTTGTATTTTGTATTTATTTGATCTCCATTAGTTGTAACAAGTACATCTATTCTTCCTGGAGTCAGTCCAGCATGCTGGTCACAAAACATGTTTTACACCAGTTTTCACCAACAAGTGATACAATAAAAGACACCCCCCACCCCCACCCACACACACACACACACACACACAACATACATTCTTACATACACACGCAAACTGTATAAAGATACACATTGTGGTCTAATAAAAGCACCGTCATTTTAATTGTGTTTATCTTAACTTATACTATGAAAAGCTCATTTCCCAAAAAATAAATATAAATTTTTAAATCATCATGTGGGTATTGAAATTCGTATGTTTTTTTCTTGTTGTTGGGGTGACAGTAGCTCAGTTGGTAGAGCATTGACCTTAATGCCTGAAGGTTGTGGGTTCAATTCCCACCTCTACACCTTCTCCACCGATGACTGCTGTTGTTGTGTCCTTGGGCAAGACACTTAACCCCACTTTGCCCAAAAGCCCCCACTGAAAGATCAAGGCCCACCTGCAGAGGGTCAGTGAGGGGCTGGTGCTGTGAGACTTGGGTGGCATCTCTGATTGCCACCCCCCTGACCCAGAGATGGATGGATGGATGGATGGATGGATGGATGGATGGATGGATGGATATCGCAATTGAGTTTGTATTTTTAGCACCATGACAACACAAAGAAGTGATCTGTAACTTCACCATCTAGGTATGAGGCCCACACTAGAAGGGAGAATGGGTTCTAGATTCTCACTGCAGTATTTCAGCAGGTGGTAATACAACTCAATGGGAAAGAAACATAATTTGAAAGAAATTAGATTTTCCCAGATGATTGTTTGATAATTAATGATGATTGATGATTCACAAATCAAAAACATTCAAAAAGTATTGTTAAAAAGAAAGAGCATGTCAGACCATATAGTGGTAAAGATGTTTACTGCACTTTTTAATGATAATAATAATTCAGGAAAGTGACATTTAGGTAGTTCATAAGAGTGGGACACTTCATTTGGTCCACAGAGAATGAGCTTAAAAAAGAAGAGGTATCAAAGCAAACCTTAAAGCATCAGAAATGGAAACAGTCTCACGGTCGTAAAAATATGAAACAAAATATAATGTGTATTCTACTGACTTTTTTAAATCAGAGGTGAGTTTTAGGAATGTAATTTAACCCGATTTCTGCTTCGTTCACCAGTCTGCTTCTGAACTCCAGCGCACAATTAAATACAAACATAATAAATAAGTTAAGTGCTTATGTTGGTGCTCAAACGATTTCTGCAAAAATTGTGTCATTCAAATATTTATTGTAATATAATTTGGCATAGTTAATTCTTTAATTGTTCAAGAAGGCAAAACATACTTCTTCCTGCTTTATAGTGAGCATTTAAGGAGCTCATTATAATTATCATTACCATTTATATCAATGTCTATTTTAGAACGAGATGATGGAATCAAGAACCAGTTTTCATTCATTTCAATAGGACATGTATTAACATGCATTTTGCCTGATATTTCTATAGTTACTGGACTTAAAGCTGGGGCACCTAACTTAGAGTCTTAGAGAAGCATTATGTTGTGAACCCTAAGCCCCAGCTTTAACTATACCTATTTGAGCAAGCTATTGGCATTTGGCTCTTGTGATGTCATCTGAAACATAGAACTCTCTTTTAGGCCAGCGAAGCCCTCTTTTAAGCCTTAGAACCGGGCTACTACAGCAAATGCTTGGACTCATTCCAATGGCAAAATGAATAATCATAATTTATGGGTTTTCAATGTTTACACAGGATTATTTGGTAAATAAAAAAATGCAGTCACTTCAATCACATCCACAAAAAGGCAACAGTAATGCAATGAAATGTGCTTCTCTGTGACATATGAAAATGGCGGTTTCATTCGTAGAGCTGTGAAAAGCAATTTCTAGTCGAGTTCAGAAGCAGAGCGATTCCAGACTTCTCCAGGAGGTAGACAGAAGACGGCCAACAGTGATGTGGTAAAAACGTAGTCCCAAAACCGTGGTGGAGTTGTAGTCCGTCCTTCAGAGCTCGTCCACTTTTGATGAGGTCACTTTGTAGTCCTTCTCAGTGACATTTACAATCCCACGAGAGGAGACGGTCCAGGCGCGAGGTCAACTGCAGCTTCCTAAACTGTATCAAGGGTTTATTCTATTGTTTTAAGAATAAATATTGCTGTTTTTTTTTTCTTTTAAAAATGATAATGATAATATAAGTCTATTAAAGTTTTATAATGTTAAATAAAATATGCCTCCCTATGCTACCACCAGAGGGAGGAGTTGAAATCTTATTTCTTTTCGAAAAGAATTTCACCTGAGAAATTGCCCAAACTAGTATATAGCATGATTACATGTTTGTGCCAGAAGTTCCTGGTATTAGCATGGGTGGATCTAAAAACACCTCCAGGTCTGTCCTTTAAGTACATTGAGGAAGGTCAACATGCCCCCATGTAAGTTAAATTAGATCTGAGTTAAAACCATTTGATCGTAAAGCAGCACTGCCCCAGCTCAGACCGCCTCCTCCGGTCACCTCCGCACTGACCACAGTTTTCAGTGTATTTGTCCCATGTGTTTTTGGAGTTAGAAAAACCATCTGAAAGCTTCTCCAGCCGGGACAGACGGGGGGCGCTGTGGAGACATAAGACACAGATCAGTAATGTGACCTAGACATTTTAAATAGCTATTTATGTGTGTGTGTGTGTGTGGGATAAGGACTTCATCAATGTAAATTCATCAATTTTCATAAAGCTCAAAAACACAATCTAAAAAGATTAGATAGATAGATACAAAATTGTAGGTTTGTCAAAGGCAGATTAGAAAGTCAAAATATTCATAAAGTAGGGTTGTAGTTGATCAGCTCTTGGTCAGGCATATACCAGTCCATCGGTCGATTTCATCTCCATATAATACAACTAATTGTATAATGGTCATGAGCTTTGGGTAATGACAGAGAGGACGAGATCGCGGATACAAGCGGACGAAATGAGCTTCCTCCGCAGAGTGGCTTGGCGCTCCCTTAGAGATAGGGTGAGGAGCTCAGGCACACGGGAGGAGCTCGGAGTAGAGCCGCATCTTTCCCACATCTAGAGGAACCAATTGGCTCAGGCATCTGTTCAGGGTGCCTCAAGGCATCTGTTCCGGGCATGTCCCACCGGGAGGAGAACCTGGGGAAGACCCAGGACATGCTGGAGGGACCATGTCTCTCAGCTGGCCTGGGAACGCCTTGGGGTCCCCCCTGATGAGCTGGAGGAAGTGTTTGTTGATAGGGAAGTCTGGGCGTCTCTGCTTAGACTGCTGCCCCTGTGAGCCGGCAATGGATGAAGCGGAAGAAAATGGATGGATGGAGGTATGTCTTAATTGTAAGATTCTTGGAACAGTTTTTGAAAAATTTTGATCTATTTCTCAGTCTCACTGTCTAAAAAAAGTTTTTCATTATTGCATATTTGACATTGTGTCTGTAAGAGTGGGGAACATGGTGTCTTTACGTTTGATCAGAGTTGTTTCTACAGTGTTCCAGGATTAATTCTTATTTAGGTTTTCCCACTGGTCTGATCTCTCTCTGGTCTCACTTTGGTGCCTCTCTGGCCTCCCTTTTTCTGGTTTCTCTCTGGTCTTTCTCTCATCTCTCTGGTCTCACTCTGGTCTGACTGTAAAAATGTAGTTACCAAAGATGCAAACTACTTCATTCAATTGTTTATATATTTAAAATTTTTGAGGTTTATCTTTTATTTCTGAGAAATGATTGTAGATCTAAATCTAATATAAGTGAATGCTCAGAGTTGTAAATATTTATAATTTGACTTGAGGAGTTCTTAAACAAACACAACACAATCTAGTTGATTGTGTTGTGTTTGTTTTAAGAGACAGAAACCAGCTCAATGCATGATGTTTGAAAATAAAGCATTTGGACAGAAGAGACACAGTTGAGCCAGTCTCTGATATTAGCGTGGAGGGAGCTAAAATCAAGTCTGTATATGTTTGTGATGAGGAACACTCGTTAAAAACTCTTATCATACATCTCTTGCGCAGTCTTCCATGCAGGTGAAGCTTTGGGAAAAATATTGTTGCAATTGTGAGACGGGCGGAAAAACAATGCTTCTGTTTTTGAGTTTGAGGTCGACTTCAAACGGAGCTGAGGCAAGAGGCTGCAATGCTGCACACTGCAGCAGAGTTCAGACTGAGCAGGTACGCTTTAGACCATTTGATTACAGACAAGATTCCTGTTCAAAGGAGAAACTATGCATTACTGATTACTGTTGGCCATTAATAATGATAATTATTGTCATTTTAGAGTGTGAAAAAATATCAGAAAATATATTGTGAACCAAGCATAAATGGTGAAAAATGCGATCAGCCTCAAGTCCATGTGGAGCTGCAAAACGGTCGGGTTTATGTAAAATTTCCAATCCTATCACAAAAATAATTGTTATATATAATATATAAGTACACAATTTATGAAACAAATTAAAAAGTTAACAATGTTTATTTCAGCTGAAATCCCTGCACTGTGGACAGTATTGTGCAGGTAGCCCGTCATGTCTTCAAACTCTTGATATTTGGAATTTTCAAAACCCCTACTGGGATTTTGAATGGTAAATTTTACTTCTTGAACCCTAAGCTCCCCAAAAATTAACAAAACAAATTCAGTGGGGAATACTTTAAAGTATATATTCCCGCTGAATATTTTACAGTGGTACAATGATATCACAAGATTGACTGAGACAGGAGCTTTAAAGCCGCTTTTAATGTTATCTTGGGATCTTTGACTTCCCACTCAGAAAAATGGGAATGATCACGGAATTTCTAATAATAAACTCCTGAGTTTATGAGTTGAAAAAGCCCGCTGTTTCAATGGTCTCTGAGTTGCCTAATACACCTCACTGTGACACGAGTCAGATTGTGATTGGATCAAAGAATACTGCAAAACAATCTGTTTTAAATCACACCGATGCCACGGATGACATGGAGACATAAGAGTTATACCAAGCCGCGAAAAGCTCCTATTTCAAGGGAAAACAATTTTCAATACAGCGTAAGCCTTCCATGGTTTGAATTAGTTAAATATTTTCAATAAGAATTAAGCGGATGTTATAGTGGGGAGAGTGGAGCTCCAGGGATCAACAGAAGACACGTCCAAGATGATCGTTCTGATAAATAATTACTGATTATTGATCAGAATACTTTCAACTAGGGATGCACCAAAGAATCGGCTAAATGTTGGTTTAGACAAAGACTTTCGGCAATGGTAGGCTCGTGCAAAGAGAACAGTAGAGGGCGTCCGCCCATTTTCCTCAGTAAAAGAAACCAAAAAAATGGCAGCAGTCGTGTGGCAATATTTTACAGTATCAGAAAAAGATCAGCGTAAGGCAGTTTGCAATACGTGTTCCAGTGATTTCAAGAGGGGGACTGCTAGAAAATAATTTAACACAACAAAACTCATTGGACATTTGAGAAGCAAGAGGCGATGTACAGCAATTGCATGCAAGATGAGGAAAAACATAAAACTGAAGCCGCCAAGAAAAATACATATATAAATAACAAAAAGAAAACACCATTTTTGGCCAATTTATTCTGTTAAACATCAGTATTGGCCAAATATTTCATAATCGGTGCATCCTTCAATGTCGGCTCTTCCTATCATTGTGAAGCAGAATTCACCAAGCGTTGGATTGTTCACCCACTACTAGATAGGGAACGTGAGCTGGGTTAAGACCATTGTGAGAAAGATTAGGTTTACCCTACTAATAATGTGTTGTTGCAATAGTAATCCTGCAGCAATATTTCAGGCGAGATTAATGACATGTATTGTCATTGTGATGACCTGTAAATACAAAAAATTTGAACTTAATCTCCAAGGGGAAGCACAGCAGTAGTAAGCTGAGGCTACAACGAACGTAGCCGAACCTTGTGGCACAGAGCTCAGATACTAGTATACTACTTTAGAAAAGACCCTGGTCCGTACAATCCCAGACCCTGGACCAAACAGTAAGTAAGTAAGTAAGTAATCTTTATTTATATAGCGCCTTTCACAGACCAGAGTCACAAAGCGCTTTGCAATTCTTGTGGGCATTTGTTCTTCTTTTAGTCATTTTTAGAAGTTAGCTTTTACAGAGGCCAAAAGTACATGCGAGGAACTTGTAAAATAGATTTTCATAATTATTTTTTGTGTTTTCACAATCTCGCAGCTCTACTGTCTGGATAAACATTTTACAGTTTAAGGACATTGTGAATCCTAACCACACGTGTTCACACACACAAACACACTAGGAAAATTACACGTGCGCGCACAACCCCAGACGTGCAAGCACACACACAAAGGCAGATATACACACAGCTGAGCCCTTTCCCCCTCGTCTCCAGCTTTAATTAATCACGGCGCGCTCCCTCCTGGCCCAACGTGCGATCAGTCTGCTGCGCGGCGTCAGTGCCAGTTTATCCGCGGCGCCTTCATTACGGCTCGTTTAGGCCGATTACAGGCGCTAATTTGGTGTCTCCGTCTCGCTCCGGCTGCCGTTAGCACCGGAGATGAATGGAGTTTCCCCCGCGGGTCGAAAGCGGCTGTCGAGGGCGTATTGATCAGCGATAAGTCAAGCTCAGGACCACAGCAGCGGAAAGAGCAGCGCAGGCTTCACGAGTCATACCAAGGTTTCATCATTTATAAACAAGGGGTATTATAAATTCAAGATCCAGCACAGATTTTGAGGGTGTTACAGTTGCTCCCTTGTCATTTGCACATTTTTAGAGTAATCTTAAGAGTAATTTTTAGAGTTCACAACATGGAACCATCACCATCTCGCCTCAAATTGTATTAAAAGTGACATCCATGTCTTAATTTGTTCGTATTTAAACTTTTAAAGCAATTGACGGACTCAAAGTCTGCCATCTTGGTTTGCTTCGGCTGCCTTGGGAGGTGCATGCACAGGTTTGCATTAGATCATAAACAACGAGGTGTCTCTCGACAAGGCAGTGCAAACCGACGTTACAAAATGGTCCATGAGCACATGCGCTGACCATGGATCTATAATAATAACTGGATAGTGTATTACTAGCTTAAAGCTGTCCCACCTATGGCCACAGGGGGCGCCCGTGGTACTGCCGACTAAATTCACGAGGGGCTACCTAGAAAAAAGTCCCATAGAACTCAATGCATATTAAAACAGCACGACCTCAGCTGACAGAGAACCTACAGCTTTCATAAAGATCGGATTTTGTGGGGATTTTAGTGTCCCTTGTCATCCTGAACTTTTTTTCTTCTTAAATCCTTCGGTTTTCAATAAATCCACACTTTACTACCACAAACTCTGCTCCTTGCCTTCCCGCTCTGGCTCCGCTCTTTCACTGCTCTGATGATCAGCTCTGATTGGTCATAGCGCAGCCGAGCCCCTCTGTGCGCGTGCATGAAAGCCACACACGCACGTTTTGCGCTAATCCACTGCGCAGAACCAGGAGGACCAGACAATGCCCAAATATAGGCGAGTTCAGCTAATCTCCCGGTCTCCATGAAGTCCCATGCGCTACTGAGCACAAGCCATTCATTTGAATAGAATATATCTTGGATCGCCGGGGCTTGGCGATGACATGCTTGCAATCTGACTCCTTGCCAGTGGTGGCGTACCCGCAAACAAAATTACCCAGTGCATTCTTACAACACCAAAAACGACTCTACCGCAGTGACGTGCGGTGAGGTTGGTGATTGGTGAGGCACTGACTTTATCCCAATCAGATGAACATATATCATATATAATCAACAGGACCTACAGAGCGGATTATTCACAATTTGTTTGGCTACAGCAGATTACACTTCATGCCCGCATTGTTTGCACATACAAAATGCAAAAGTTTGTAAAAAGCACATTTCAAAGGGTGTTATGTTCCTTACCTTTACCTTATAAATGAATTGCACAGACTTCAGTTCAATGAGTTTTAAAAAGTAAAAACAAACGGGTGTCTCCCAACTCCTCTTGTGTTTCGCTAGCTGCAGCAGACTCTCGGGTGCATCCGATTTCTAAAATCTACCTTCTCAATCTTCACCTCTCTTCCTTACCATTCATATCATCATTGGAAGCATAACGTTACCCTAAGTGCATTTCACATTATCTTAAAATGTGTTATAGGTATGTTAGCCAAACCTGTAGCTGCCCTTAGCAGATGAAGAACAAGAAAGGAGCTTTCTGATGGAATCGGATGCAACCGAATTCTGCGCTCACATGCGCAGAGGCTACCCTGAGGCTGGCCTCACTTGGTGACAATAATAGCCGTGATTGAGCACTATAAAGACCCATATTAGTTGTCAAAAACACAACTTATGACCCATCCCCTCGACATAGACATGTTGATTTTAAATGAAATATGTTTGAACTTTGTAAACCGCGATAAACAGAAAACGGTTTGATAGCGCCGCACGGGCTTCTCCAAAAGTAAGGTATGGGCTCGCCTCACAGCACCGCTCTGTCAAATATGAAAAGAATATGACAAAAATCTGCAATTTCAAGCTAAGAAAAAATTAAATAAGGCAAAGTTACCTTGAAATAATACAATAGCACATATCACTTGATATAGTGTATTATTGTTTCCATTTTATTATTTTTTCTTTCCATGGTGAGGCCCCGCACGTCACGTCACTGCTTTTCGCGCCTAGTAAACATGACTTACTTAGTCCAAAAGTCGGCTCTTGGCTCAACACTACGTTACAGATGCGAGTCAATGCTGAGGGGTGTATTTTTTTGGACAAGCCTAGTTTAGCCGCTGTGAACATTTGAATGCACTTAAGAATGGAGCTTTTGCCGGCTAATGCATGCACAAACCATTTTGATTCTTCCCATGTGTGTGGCACATACATTTTAACGGAGGAACAAGGCGTCACTACGTTCGTTAATATTAACTGTCTATGGCCTATTGACACTATTGAAAAGGACCGCTGGAGAGTGCCAAGGGCTGCGATTGGTCCAGGAAAGAGCAGAGGAGTGAGCTGAGGGAGAGGAGGCGGTGGGGGACAAATGACTTTGGGAAGAAAGCATTCCCGGAAACCATGTTTTTATGGTTTATTTAAGTCATAATTTAAGTACAAAATGTAATGTGAGTGAGTGCAGATAGTACACCTTTATCTCTCCTTGCAGCTTTGCATGTTAACAAGCTAATACATTTACAAATGATTTTTACATTCAGACCTATTGTACATGTTTTAGTGGTAGGGGAAGCCGGAGCACCTGGAGGAAGCCAGAGAACCCAGAGGAAACCGGAGCAGACAAAGAGAGAACATGCAAACTCCACACAAAAAGGCCCCATCTGGAGGTGTAATAGCCCAAAATGGTTCAATGATCCAGATCACCTTCAAAAGGGTTTTTTAGGGCTGGGACTTGATTAAAAAAAAATGTAATTAATTAGAGGCTTTGTAATAATTAATCGCAATAATTGCGATTCATGTTCACTGTGCCACTGTGGTTTGTTGTTGTCCACACGTAGCCGGGTATTTGCTAAACCGCAAATATTTGTCTTTGTTTGCACCTGTCATCCACATGACAACACATCATAAACTAATATATAAAAAAACTCCGGGCAAAGTAGAGATTTTAGAAAAATTTGTTTATGCATTTGCGTGTAGACAGAGATAACCAGAGTTTTACATTTTCGCACGTCACAATATGTGCAAAGACAACAACAAACAAAAGGTGCAAACTATGATCACTGAAGAAGCATGGATCTTACTGGCTTAAAAACTATGATGAAATAAATACGATGAAACTGCATACATATTTTTAACACGCTAATTTTGTGTAATTAATTCATCTTAATTGACGCGTTAAAGTCCTGGGCCTAGTTTTTTCCCCTTGTCCCATTTGCAAGGTTTCCTGAAGATTTCTTAAAAGTCTACCCATTTTGCTAAATGACCGGGTAGTGATGAGTCCTGATAGATTTTCTTATAATATATTTCTTTATTTGGCTATGGATGTAAAAACGACCAATTCACTACGTTCACTTCAGTTAGAAAAGCCAGCTTGAGTGTGCGCATGTGGGTTGGTGTGTGTGTGTGTGTGAGTAGATTTGTGAATGAGTCTTGGCTGCGCTCCACACAGCGGGTTCTGGTCGGGCATGACGCCTCCCACGGCTCCAGTCTGACAGCGGCTGGTTCAGCAGCCAGGCGCACAAAAGGGCACACACACACGGACACACACACGCATGCACACAAACACAGAGCAACTACAGTACGGGGACGCAGCCTGACAGTGGCTGGTTCAACGGTCAGGCGAGCACACACACGCACAGGCGCACAAACCTACAGTAATTCCTACCGTACAGGGATGTGGCCTAACAGAGGCTGGTTCAACAACCGAATACACACACAAGCACACACACACACACACACACACACACACACACTCCAGGACATAAACTATGACGCCAGACAAAGCTGAATTATACACCGTGGTGCTCAAACGTTTTCATACCCTGGCATGTGGCAACAGTACCCTGGCAGATTTCTTGGCTTCAGAGATTGATGAGAAGTTTTTCCAGCCATGGTCGATGCTGATTGTGTTCGAGCCTCAAAATCACCAGTGTGTCTAAACCTTTGACATGACCATTTGGCTTGTAGCATCATCATGAATTTATAAAACTACTAACGTAGCACTAACTTGTAGTGTAAAAAAGTGTAATTTTTCATTGTGGGACCAAGAGGGATTTTTTGATCATTATTTAAATTACATGAACTGTGAACGGCAGGCCTGCTCAACTCTGGCCGTCAAAATCATAATTAGGAAATATAGTGCCAGTGTTAACTATGGAAGGAACTAACTATGTTAAAATGTAAAACTGTAAATGATCCGGACCGCTTTGAGGGTAGACAAGACACTACATTTACGCAAGAAAAATTGGGGGAAAAAATTGAACAATAGATTGAACAATAAGAGAGAAGTCGTCAAAGAAATGCAACGTTAGTCAATGTGGGCATTTGTTTTCTTAAAGAAATCCTGTGTGCAAAATCTTGAAGCGCTATCTGGTCATATCCCCCCTATAGGCTCTAAGGATGTAGGGCAAAACGAGTTTAAATTGCAATTTGGGTTCCCCCTGAGAATGAATTTTTTTGCGTGACCTGCGGAGCCTTACCTCCAGCGATCCTCCGGTCCCGGGCTTCTTCTTCAGCTCCTCACACTTCCTGAACTTGCAGATCTGATGCCCCGTTTTCCTGTTGCGACACGAGGAGCAGACGCCGCAGTTGATGAGGCGTCGACACGGGCCGCACACGCCACAACGCTTCCTCTTCCTCTTTGCCGCAGCGGACGAAGCCCCACCCCCTGCGGAGGTAGCCCCACCCCCTGTCGTTACCCCTGACGACGGGGAGGAGGAAGAGGGGCATGGGGAGGAGTTAGTGTGCTGCTGACAGTCCGTGAGCGCGCGCTGGCCGCCTGTCATCTGGAAAGCGCTGCTTGCCTCCGAGGAGATCCCGCCCCCGGCCGACCCCATCGCCATGACAATGACCCCAGGCGGTATTCCGAGCGACCCGAGAAAGCTCCCACCCATAACCCCGCCCCCGTTGCAGCCGCTACCATCTGAAAGGCCCATCATGTCCGAGTGGGCATGTCCCTGCTTGTTCAAACAGTCTGCACCACTGTAATTAGGCAGAAAGTTCCCGTTACCCGGCGCCATGTGATGATGCGTCTGTGAACCAGGAAGCGGGCTCTTGTCGGCCCGTCCTGATTGGCTGTTGCCGTTTCCTGAAGCGTTCTGTGGCATCGCCGCACTGGGCACGTGCGCAGAGGCCATGTGACCCGGGTGGCCGTGGTGGTGGTTGGGCTTCGGTCGACCCCAGAACATGGCTGCCGGGTTCATGTTGTCATGGCAGCCCCAGGGGCCCGTTGCCATTGCACCCAGCCGCGGTGGGAAAATGGGCGTGGCAGCAAGGCGTGCAGCAAGCTTGGCCTGAGGGAAGTTGTTCATGTTCATGTTAACGTTGGTTTTGTAGAAGTTTGCGATGGACGATCTGTAGCGGTCCATCTCCGAGTAATCCAGCATGGGAGCAAGACTCGACATCTGCAACAAAACACAAAGAGAGAGGGTACCTGATTATAAAACCAGAAAGTATGTAGGAAAAAAGTTTGGCACCCCTGCTTTAAAGTGGAGATAACATACCATCTCACAGCTTTTGACCATATTATACTTCTTTTACCTTGCAAAAATGTCAAAGGCTTCAATAATTTAAAGCTGGGGTAGATAACTTTTTGTCAGACCACAAAATGCTGTCTTATTAGACAATATGTAATCCTTTGTGTAGGAAAAAATCCTAGAAGTCACAAGCTTCTGTCTGAAAGTAAAAATATGACACATGTCAAAAATACACAAATGCGAAAACTAGTGATAGAACTTTTGAGGAAAGGAACTAGTTGCACGTATTCTTTAACATAGTTCTATTTTTTGTGGTTTGAATGTTTAGGTACCCCAGCTTTAAGAAATTCCCATGTCCCTTTTTTTAAAATAATGGTGACGTTCATAGAATGTTGTTATTTACCTGTCCCTGTGGCCCATAACCATGGTGATTGGGGTGATGGTGCGAGGGGGCGGAGCTTCTCTGCAGCATTGAGGAGAGGTCAGTGTCCATACATACACCACTGCTCATCCCCGACATCACGAAGACATGACGGACAGGAGGCCTCTACAGCCTGCAACAGAGTCACAGAAGTGTAGGTGCTGCAGGGCCGAGCAGTTCCGTGTGTTCATACGTGTTAATCATAGACTGTAAATATTAAGGGACGTAGTCAAGCCTATCTCGGCCGTTTAATTATTAAATTAAATTATTAATTAAATTATCCAAAATGGCCGTGAGTGGTCCCGCCCACGAGAAAATTGTGAAAAAACGCATTGCGCAAGCTCCATTCATTTAAATGAGTGACTTCAAATATTCACAGCGAGTAAACTAGAGTGGTCCAAAAAAATTCACTCCCCTCAGCATTGACACACATGTGGAACGGAGCTTTGGGCCAAGAGCCAACTTTTGTAAAACGTTTTTGAGAGGTAAGAAGATGCTATATGTAAGCATTGGCTAATTCTTATTCCGGGTCCACCCCCATCGGCCCGGGATGGTATTGCAAGCATGTCAGCATGGCAGCATCATTTTGGCCACTTTTGAGCCGGGACCCGCCCCCACTGGTGTTAATTTGAAATACAGGGCTGAAACCATATCAGTGAAAGGAACCGCGTTTTTGAAGACAAGAATGAGCACTAACGGAAATCAGACGGAATGAAAGGTTTGTATTAAGTCATATGTAAAAGGAACCATATAAGTCAGAAAGAACACACATGGATCAGTATCAGTGTTCATGTCATTGACAAAAACTATAACGGAAATATTCAACAAAGACTTTTTGCGGACAAAGACTTGACTAAAACAAACTAAAAATGACTCACTAATGACTAAAGCGTTGACAAAAAAAGAAATGTGTTTTGGGTAACAAAAGACAAGGAAAACAAGCACTGACAGAAATCAGACGGAATGAGCGGGACAAGAGCCAATCACAGCACAGCTTGTTGTGCCATGCCAAGATGAAGTAATTTCGCTAACATGAGTTATTTTTGAGCGTGTTGTACCTGTCGCCCACTGTGTGTTACTGAAGTACATCCTCACCGTGTTGTTGTACGCAGATTCAGAATGTCACATTTTCCAGACGTATTTTCTTGTGCTGCAAATTTTCTTTTTTGCAAAAGCATGAAATGTTTCCAAACTCCTGATGACAAAAGCTTTATGTTGTAGAGTATTTACTCCCAATTACAGTTCTGTCTGCCCGATAAGCAACTAAATTAAAGTTTGGCTTTGTTTTTGTTTAATAAATAATAAATGTTGTTTAATAAAAGTAAGATGTTGTGAGCAAATCAGATCACAAAATGATGTCTTCATCTCATGATGATGATATTATATATATTATATTTTGTATTTTTGGGGGGAGAAACAAGGGCCTACAGGTTGTTGCTGTACTCAAAAGAACCTTGTCATTGAAGCTGCAGGATCTTAAATGATAATGTATATCATTATTGAAACATTTCTGATTAGAACCGTGTCTTCTAACAAAAAGTCGACTAAATTTGTTCAGTTTGAGATTGGAACATTTAAACATTAGGGGCGAGGGGACATTCATAGTGATGATGGAGATAGGGAACAGAGGTGTAACATGGTTAATAAGTCAAAAAGATTAGTTTCAAAAAGTACATCTCTGAAGTCAAATCATTCATGTCACTGGTACAGAACCCTGCTCCTCCTCAAGGGGGCGCTACTTCTGCACTTCTGCAGTTTAAACACATTTAATCTCCAATCATCACTATAACCTCCTCCTTATACCCATTCTCCTCCTCAGCAGCAACATGATATCAGTGTCTAGACCCCAAGGGAATTGAGATTCCATCTCATAAATCTTCACCTCTGTCCACACTCCCCGTTTCCTTTCCCGGGTCAAAGCGCCACATAAAGAATCTCAAATCAACCATGTCATCAACAAAAAAATTTCCCAAAGACATTTAGAATTAAACCATACTTTGCATAGATTATTTGTTTCTTGCATGTTACATGTTGCATGTCAAAAAGTTGAATAATAGAAACAGGTTCATTGACTTCCTGTTTACAATGTTAAAGTCCCAATTCTTAGTTTAAGTAAGTAAGTAAGTAAGTAAGTAAGCTTTATTTATATACCGCCTTTCACAGACCAGAGTCACAAAGCGGTTTACAATTGTTGTTTTTGTAGTTTTTTTTTTTTTGGGCACTTGTCCTCTCACTCCACACAGAGATGGGAGCGGGGTCGCCGAACAGGAGGCGCATGCCAGACCTATTGTACATATTTTTAGTGGTAGGGGAAACCGGAGTACCCGGAGGAAACCTACGCAGACACGGGGAGAACATGCAAACTCCACTCAGAAAGGCCCTGGTCCGGCCGGGCACTATTTTTAACCCGAGGTGTTAGACCTGGAGTCGGAGTTTTAAATCATCAAAGTGCAGAGGAATGTGCGGGTATAGGAGATAAACCTATATACCTTTACTGAGCACAGAACACTGAGACGTCAGATAGAATAGAAACTTAATGAATGAACATTCCTCCATAATATTTTCTATTTGTTTGTAAATAAGGCTTTAAGATTTTTGTTATTGATACCCTTGGTGCAAAAACGATGCTTTATTTGTGGCCCTTAAAGATGACACTATTTTGATCCTGTATTAAGAAAATATATGTTTAACTATGTATAAAGGACTACAGCTGAATGCCATTCCCCACTTCTACCACCAGAGGGAAATGTTGCTTTTAATTTTTTACATAATCAAACAGGCGGAAATAATGTTGTTTAAAAGGGACAGAACGTGATGTCACAGTGTGCAGATTCGTCTTTGGCTTGACACGGGAATGTTTAACTAGAAGGGGCGGGTAGACGTGTTTGTGCAAGAAGTTCCACATATGTGAATAAAGCTAAAATAAACTCCTTTCTGTTTTTCATTATGCTTAAAAAAACGATTTTTGCGCAACATGTCTCCTTTAAATACATTCGTCTAAACAAAGGTCCATTGTTTGCTTCGCGTATTGGCTCCCTTCTTATATTCTCAAAACTGCTCAAAATAATCCAAGCTATCAATCTAACCAAAAAGCTCATTCCATGTTTTGTTTAATATACTATCGTTGTGTGAGGGCCAATATGCATAACTCCAGGCGAGGACACACCTTTCTTCATAATTAACCAGCTTCACACCAGCCTGTGCCAAATCGCGACGCGTCCATGATGATCGCCATATCTCCATCTTCTGTTCCAAGCAGCAGCAGCAGCAGCAGCAGCTCGCCTGTGTGTGTGCTCCAACGCTTTCTCCTATGCTTTCTCCAAAATGTGTGTCAAGCCGATCTCCCCTCCCTCCTTCCCTTTCCTTCCCTCCCTCCCTCCCTCCCTCGCCTCCTAAACCGCCGCTTTTCCCTTGAGGCGTAACTAATTACCCTGTCTGGTCAAGCGGGCTGGCGAAGGTCAGCAGCCCGGCGCGCAAAGAGATCGAGGGGCCAGCATTACATTACGCGCCTGGGCTTTTTTCTCCCCGCACGCGACACGCTGTTTTCACTGCCTCCTCCTGCTGCTTTAGCTTTTTCCTTTCACCCCGAGGCAGCGAGAAAGGACACAGCCTTGAAGAGGAAGTGCGAAAAAATCAAAGCAACAAGGGGAGGGGGTGGTTAAAATGTCCGTAAATACCACAGAAAAACACACAAAGATGGTGCCCGTTGCATGCGCTCGCAGCTTAAATGTATGGCGTTGGTTTGGTTATACGACTTACCTACACAGGAGGGGAGACCGTCTGGGAATTAGCCCGCCACGGATCATGGCTGGCGGGGAAGGAAGGAAAAAAGCAGCAGAGGAGCAAGGCAAGGAGGAGATGTGGGGGGGAAAAAAACAGTGCGTAAAAGGCATAAGGGAGGAGGGATGGAGACGCGCGGGGGGGCAGGCGCGCGCAAAGGGATAATCACCTGGGTTTGGCACGAGCGAGCATAGGGAGGGGAGGAGGTGTGGGTGTGGGAAATTAAGCGAGGAAACGAGGGAAGGAAGCGAGGGAAGGAAAGGAAGGGAGAAAAATGGTGCCTCGGGACGGGATGCGCGCGCGGGGAGGGTTGTGATCGCGACACGCACGGGCGCACGGGGAGTGGAGGTGGGATGATGGATTTGGACGCACACACGCAGCGATACGCGAGGGGAGAGGAGGCGTTTAGACTCGGGATGACAGCGCACGGCCATTTTTATCACCACCACCAGCAGCGGCGGAGCAGCAGAGGGCTTTTTATAGACGAGCTGTGAGCAGTGTGTGTGTGTGTGTGTGTGTGTGTGTGTGTGTGTGCACTTGTTTTCAACTCCTGGTGGGTTCCATAACCTGAGATTCCACTCACGTCATGGGGACTGGTTTTACGTGGTGGGGCCCGAACACCGGACCCCACTGGTCCAAGCTTAATAATCAATGGGTAATGCTTTTCTAACGGTCCTTATGCAGTCTCTGTAAAAATATGGAAAGGACCCCTGGAGGTTTACTTTCCTGAAAAAAGTGTGTTATGTGTCGGAACCCTGGTGGTGGGTTGCGGGATATCAAGGAGGGGCACACTGGGGCAATTTCAGTCCAGCAGGCTGGAGCCAATCATGGAGCAGCACAACAGAGGAAATCAGGTGTCAGGCTAGAAAAAGGTGCAAGTGTGTGGTTCATTAGGCTGCAAGAAATCATGGAGGAGCACACTGAAGCGCACGCTTACAAACCACTGGTAAGTGCTGACTACAAGTCATGACTTCAAATTGTTATATAGAATGATTACAAATTATTTGTTGTTTGTGCAGCTTAGTCAAGAGTCCCTAATTGATGAAGTCGACTCAGATTCTGACGATTTAACTGTCAAGAAGAAACCTGTAAAAAAGTATGGAAAAAGAAAAATCAAAAACACTTTTCTTCAAGACTCGGAAAGTGACGAACCAAAGGCAAATAAGATTGTTATCATGCAGCTGCAAAAGAAGAAAAATGGGGGGCGAGTATACAGCAAGAGACACTTCTGCCTCTACTGTTCAATGTCCTGCCACAAAATGTCCCGTCATTTGACTAGAAAACATGGAAATGAAAGTGACGTAGCCAGCCAGAGCATT